CCCACCAGCATGAGCTAGAACTGGGGGCAGACAGTCAAGGCCAGGCTGCAGCACCCACTGGCAAATGCCGAGTTGAGGAGGGCCTTCCCAGACTGGGGTGCAGCACCCACCAGCACATGTGAGACCTGGGTGTGTGTAGGGGGAGTAGGAACCTGGTAAGGGGGCAACGGGGGCTCCCCTGCTAGGCCACCACTCACATTGGTGAGCACGAGAACTGGGACCGGGGGCAGACTAGGCCTGGCAGGGCCACAGCACCTGTTGTCCTGCATGTGAAGTAGGTTAGGGGTGCCACCCATTGGTGCATGCATGAGCCAGAGTAAGCGCAGGGTGGTTGAGCTTTGCCATGGCACCAGCTGATTAGCAGGCAAGTTCTGGGACTGGAGGCACATTCTGTCCAGCTAGACTGCAGAACCACTCAGAAAGTGCAAGATCTGGGACTGGGAGTGGGCCTTGTAGGGAAACTGTGGGTACCTCTCTGATGGGCTGCAGTTCCCACTGGTGAGTATGAGAACAAAGTTTGGGGCTGGACCTGGCTAGGACAAGCAGTGACACCCGCTGGCACAAGGGTGGGTTGAATAGTGGAGTTGGTTCAGTTGAGCTAGGCTCTAATGCCCATTGACATGCAGAAAAGCTGAATGGGATGTGGGACAGCCTGGATTAGTCTGCTGCACATAGGAGGGCCTGGTTTGGCTTATTGGGGGTAGCTATGACTAGGCTGCAGTTCCCACTGGTATACATGAAGGTCAAGTGTGTGGAGGGAAGGATTGGGCTAGGCCACAGCAACCACAGGTATACTAAAAGATGGGGCTGGAGACAGGACTGACCCAGCAATTGCAACTACCAGTGTGTGAGTAGGCTGATGTGTGTGATGGACTGAGCTGAACCCTGTACTGACAAGCAAACACAAGAGATGGGTCTGGGATCATTTCAGATGAGGTTTCTTTGGGGATCCCTCCAACTGAACTGCTGGACTCAGAACTCAAACCATAGAGAGAACTGCAGGATCTGTGGTCTGACTGTGGAGTGTGTATGTCAGAGTTGGGCCTCCTCTGTGGCTTAGAACAGAGCAATGGACGGCATACCCAGATGCACATGGAGGATATAGTAGTCCATTGGGGCCTGCAGAGGACATCTGGTACCATAGCAGAGGAAGGAGAGCAGAACAAATTGGTTTGTATTGCCAAGCGTTGGCAGCAAATATCTGGGCAAATGGAGACTGTAAGGTAGACTGTCAGCCAATGGACCTTGGAAGGATTTCCTCAACAGCAAGATCAACAGCATTTCAGAACTATCAAAACCACTTGAGCAGAACCCTCAGAGCATGCTCCATATCGAGACCCTGGGATGACACTGGGTGGCTGTTCTCCATTCCTGGGTACTGAGGTGGCTGGGAGGCTGGCTGTGGCTTCTTCCTTTCTCTCCCTCCTTCCCCCAGATACAGGAAAAAGAAAAAGATAATTTGGAAACAATGGTCTCACCCACTTTCTCCTAATCCTTGATCCTTCCCACTTACTCAACTATATAAACTGAATCACAAATAAACTTTTAAAAATGTATTTACTTATTGAAAAGCAGAGATACAGAAAGAAAGCTAGACTTATAGAGAGATTTTCCATCTGCAGGTTCACTCTCCAAATGACTGCAATGACCAGAACTGGGCCAGACCAGACCCAGGAACCAGGAGCCCCATCCAGGTCTCCCAAGTATTTGGACAATCTTTGTTGTTTTCTTAGGTGAATTAGCAGAGGGCTCCTATCAGCTAAGTTGTTTCTGATGGGAATGACTTTTCCTTGTAGAGGGAATTCGAGCAACTGTAGTGTCATATAAGCTATGCTGGTACAAGCTCTCCAGCCTTAGCCATTTCAAAGGAAAAAAGATACCCGTCTTCCACATTTACTCCCAAGACCTACTGATGCCATGTCTTAGAGATATCCCTACTTTTTTGTTTCCAATAATTCAGCCTAATATTAAACATTCACAGGGTTTTCTTCTGGATTCTTCTCCAATCTCCACACCACCAAATAGAAAGCTTTGAAATGTAACTTTGATCTCATCAAGCTACTGTCTAAAAACCTTATAAGGTATTATTCAAAATATTCACCTGACACAGACTTCCATGTGGCACATCTGCCCGGTGGCCCTCACGCTTCAAGCCTCATTTCCCTATACCCCATTCTTCCATAGATATTCGTTCTCTAGATTGAGCAAGTTCAGCTCTATGATTTTATTTTCTTTCCACACTATTGAAGACACCATTTGGAAATTCTCATCTAAGGGTAGGGTAGGGCTGAAGTATATACATTTTCTCACCAGAATCCTGGGTGATATTCCTCCAAATGTTGATGAGGCATACTTTACCTACTGTGGAGCTCCCCCTGGACAGCCACAGTCTGAACCCTACATATCCAACATGACCCCCACAATCGCCTTCCCTTCATAACCTCTTATCCAATCAATCAACAAACCCAAAAATATATCATAAACAAAACAAAACTAAAAACCAAATCCAACCATATTTCTACTTTTCCCTGTCTTTACTTTAGTTAAAACATTTATCATTTCTCGAATGACATTGTTACAAGGGTCCCTTACCTGTCCTTCCTTCTGCAGGATTTGTGCCAATCTGATCCATTCTCCAGAGCTGGCCAGTGATCAGTAGACACTGAGTGATATACAGCCCTGCAGACTTCCACCTGCTCTCAGGTAGAAGTTAGAATTCTTGTCTGTATGCATCAGGCCTCATGTAATCTCTGCATACTTTCCAGGCTCCTCATTCACCTTCCTGCAGTTCTTCTGCTATGAGGTCTTCACAGACCTCCGGGCTTTTGCACATATTGTTTCTTTGCTTTTCTTCTATCTCTTTGGATGACTAACTCATACTTGGAGAAGCATCATGTCATCTTCTCTCAGACATCTCCCTAGACTTAGTGTAAAATATATACACTCTCCTAACTGCTCCCACAGCATACAGATTTTCCCTGTCGTAGCATTATTCTTCTATGTTCCATTACTTCCTTTTTGTTGTTGTCCTCACAAAACCAGTTCCTATGAAGTCAAGAACTGTGTCTCTGTATTTGTGCTCCACACAGTGTCTTCCAAGCAGTTTTTGTTGAGTACATGAACGCATGGTGCTGCACGTGGTATTCTCCTAGTGATTTTGTTGAATTAGTGACTGAATGCATTCATTTTAATCCTTGCTACACTTGCTCTTCCTTTTATACTTTTCATGGTTATCTGCTTAAATCTGCATGTCACAACCAGAAAGTTTGTGTCTTCTTCTTTTTCACTCCCCACTTTCCACTTATAGGTACTTGTGATTTCCCATTCTAAATCCTATACAAATCTACCCATTTTCTTTGCCTTCTTCATTGAGTCTCCCTTTAAGAGGTGGAAAATGTCCAGCCTACAGGCCATATAAGGCCCATGAAATCATTTGGTCTGGCTCTGCCAAGATAACCACAAGTGGTACCCAAAATCAAATAACGCCGCAGCAGGCTAATTTTTAAGTGCGGGTCTTGTGTTACTCATATAGAGTGTTATGGATATCTAAATGGACTTGGCAGAAAAATGGTTCTATACCCCTTGAAGGCTGTGGTCTGGATAGTCTCTTACCTGTTCTCTGACTCTGGCTTGTCCTCTCAAATATGTTCCTTGTTTAACAACAGATGCCAAGTAAACTATTTTCAAATATTGTCAAATGATCCTTGGGGACAAAACTGTTTTTGTTTAGATACTCTGAGGTCAAATGTTCTTTCTAAACTGACAATCTGATTATATCATTTCTTCATTTGAAAACTTCAATGGAAAAAATTCATGCACGTGTACACTAATTTGAAATACTCTGAAATGTTAATGTTTGTCCATATCAGCAGGTTGTGGGTGATTTTATCTGTTATATATAGATAATAAGGAAAAGAAGGATTATATAACCTTAGGCATCACTAACTACTTGTCTCTGCCCACAGGATCAGATCCAAATTCTTGAGTATTGCACTGCATACATAAGTTCCTGTGTTTTGGCCTTGCCAACTTCTGCTCCTTCTCTTATCAGTCCTTACCTACACTGTGTCATTAAATCTCAGTGATGTAGAATAATTCTTGCTTTCTCTAGTCTCAAGTTTTGCTGTGTCATTCCTTTTTTGTGGTGTAGCCTCTGGACTTGTAATTGCTTAGCTTAATCCCAAACACTGGCTCTCCTCTTCCAAGAACCCTCAGGATTCTCTAGTATGAGTGAAGTTCTCCTGTTTGTTCTCCTGGCAGGAACACTGTATGAGGGCCCAGAGCAATAGCTTAGTGGTTAAAGTCCTCGCCTTGAATGCGCCAGGATCCCATATTGGCACCAGTTCTAATCCCAGCAGTTCTACTTCCCATCCAGCTCCCTGCTTGTGGCCTGGGAAAGCAGTTGAGGATGGCCCAAAGCTTTGGGACCCTGCACCCGCGTGAGAGACCCAGAAAAGGCTCCTGGCTTTGGATTGGCTCAGCTCCAGCCGTTGCGGCCGCTTGGGGAATGAACCATCGGAAGGATCTTCCCCTCTCTCTCCTCTTATCTGTATATCTGCCTTTCCAATAAAAATAATTTTTTTTTAAAAAAAAAGAACACTGTATGAACTGTGTTATAATGCAGTCACCCATGTTTTCATCTGTTACACAGGTGGCAGCCAGGCCACATCACAGGTGAAGTCTACAGAATACCTCTTCCTCTAGATCCCTGATTGTTATTTTCAGGAAATTTCTGTAGTAAACTTTAACAACTGGCCCTCCCTAGAATTCTATGTTCTATCTCTTGCCTGACTGCAGCTAAGAATCTGGCAGTCCTCACTGGGTTATAAATCTCAGGAAAGGACTTTGCTTTATTTTCGCTATTTTATCTCCAGCACTAAACAAATTATTGGACTTAAGGTAATAACTTTGATAAAAGCTTGATAAATACATGAAAGGGTGGCTATCACTTGTAACTACTATCACTCATGCTAAGAATTTTGACAACCCTATCATTACAGGAATAAGCTAAGCTAAAGTGGTTCCCAAACCTGAATGAGCATCCAGGAAATAAAATAAGTCAAGCTGCTGTGCCCTACTTCATGTCTTCTGAAACTGAATCCTGAGCTTGAGGCCTGATTATCTGGTATTATCTTAAAACTGCTGATGAGAGTCTAATAATGATCAACCAGATCACTTGGGACGCAAATCATTGGCCACCCAAGAAGAAACTCAAAACCACTCCCTTAGTCCCACTTCTTTCCAGCTGCCTAACTGTGGACACCACACCTGGAATCCTGGAAAGAGCTGGCCAAAGAACGTGCCTGCTTACTCAGTCTTCCCACAGGCCTAGGTGTCTCCGATCCCTGCATCATCCAGTCCAAACAGAGGAATCAATCAGAAAAGAGGAAAGGAAAAAATGGAAGAGAAAGACAGCAAGCACGGAAAACAAAAACTGCCGTTTAAAATTTCCAAAATAGTATTTGCTTTTTTGCTTACGCAAGGGAAGATGCAGCTGCATGACCTAGGCTGTGAACGCCCTGTGGATCAGGCAAATATGGGCATGTCTGAAGAGCAGCTTGGTGGAGCCATCAAAGCTCTTCACGTCCTACAGCAACAGACTACTGGGCACGTGAACGCTCATGCCAAGACGGCCAGGCTGCTCATCACAACCCTGTGGTGAGCAGAGTGCTGCATGCAGAGCCCTGTGAGCATTCTCACAGGGAACAAGCGACCTGAACTGCACATGCTATTCATTAACCTTTTGACCTGATTCCCTGTACTTTACCTTTCCTTAGTCCTTGGAACTACCACAAGGAAAAGAGAAGAAAAAACTTCACATCCCTAAAATCATGAGAACAAACAGGTAGCATGTGGTTGTACCGCTTTGATTTGGGAAGGTGTGTGGCCAGAAGAATAAGTGCGCCCCGAGAGCATGATCTCATGATGGAGCCCAATGGAGGAGCCTGGATCAGAGAACAGCAACGCATATCACTTGTTCATAATGGGGAAGGGTCCCTGGAAGGACTTGCATTTACGACAAGAATGGAACACTCGGGGACAAACATGGCTTTGTCTTGCACACTTGGATACTTGCTGAACTTATATGAAAGGAAGTTGCAAAATAATGCAGTCACTAACATTCCATGGTTGTGGGTTGACCACCTTATGCCATAAGCATTGGACACTTCATTACAAGAGAAGAAATGGGACTTCTGGAAAAATTCTGAGGGAAAGCTGCATACAATATATGTATTCTTTTCTTGAATTTATTGGCTAACAGCAAATAAATCAAAACGCAAACAGAAAATATTTTTCTTTCTTCCTGAGGTTGGGGGCAGATCAATCCTTAACAATGTGATTATATTATTATAGTGGGTCTGGCATTGTGCTGTAGTGCGTATAGCCACCTGTAATGTCACATGGATGCTACTTTGTGTCCCAAACTGCTCCACTTCTGATCCAACTTCCTGCTAAAAGCCTAGGAAAAAACAGCAAGAGGGCTCAAGTACCTGTGACCCTGCCACACACATGGAGACCCAGATGAAACTCCTGGCCCTTGATTTCAGCATAGCCCAACCTTGGCCATGTGGCCATCTAGGGAGTAAACCAGCAGATGGAAGATCTGTGTCTTTCCCGGTCTCTCTGTCTCCATAACTCTGACTTCCAAATAGATGTTCTTAAGTTATAATGACATAATTTGGGAATGTATAAACTTGGAAGAATAAATCATATTGTTAATATATTTTATGCCCCCTTTGAAAGATAAATTCATGAGGCTGCTGTCTTCCTTGCAGCTTTTTTGAATCCATTGATTTTAGAAAGCTGGAGTGTGAAGAAGTTACCAAATGCTTTTATTGGCGGGGCCTTAAAGTGAAGACATGCATCTGGTAAAATGAAGACCATTTTCTTCAGTGTCACTGCTCAGTTAAACCCCAAACTAACTTTTAAAAGGACGAAAAAGATTTCTCTGACAGTCGAGTATTTTTAGGGCTGAACAGAAGATGGACATTTGCACGCAAGGAGCTGATTGTTTTTCTATGTTTTGCAAAAGATCTTCTAACCTGCTCTGCTGCCCTGCTCTCCAAGGCACCTAGTGTGACAAAGTCAAGCAAGCCCGAGTTGACTTGAGCAAGTAGGAACCTGACTGTTGCCCTGCACTCCCAGGCCCTTTGGCGGTCCCTCCCAGCGTGCTCGCTGGCAAGGAGGAGCTCCTGGCGCAGAGCATGGACTTGGAAGGTTGATTTTGTGTTTTTGGAAGATCAGAGCTGCCAAAGGAAGCTCAGTCTTCCCGAATTGAAAGATCCCCTCAGCACGTCTGATTCACTGTTGATAACGTTGCCTTAAATACTGCTTCCCCCACAAGTAGGATTTATGGCCAAAGGGCACATTCAAATTTAAAAATAAAGGACAAGTTTTAACATTTTGTCATCTGAGGTCTCCAAGGAGCCCAAAATATACTTCCCTTATATTCTACACCAGTAGAATCGATAAATATTTATCAACACCAATGGTAATGTGATGGTAAAGGTGATAGCCCCTTTTCTATTTTGAAATTAAAATGCAATTACGTGAACATTTTTGAAAATCACTATACACACACGCTTTAATGATGTAATGTGATTTCTGCACTCCGTGTTGTGTGTTTCAGTTCACCTTGCTAAAAGCAAGATGTCATTTTGGTATTTAAGAAGGAAAATTGCCAGGCAGAATTTTCCAAATTTTTTTTCCCCTTCAATTTATGTGTAACCAAAACATATGACACTGAGTATGAATATTATAGATCTTTTATCTTGTTTGACCCACTTGTATAGTAACTTGAGCTTGGAAATAACTTGTCCATAGATTTAAACAGGTCCCTTGACTTTTCCCAGTTTAACAATGTTCGACTGTCAGCTATTTAAATCTCTGCCTCAAAGGAAACCCCTTACAATATAAATCATATCACAAATATTAGCTGTCCCACAGACTGGATATATATTTTTTTTCTCCTTAAGAGCAGCACTTTCCAAGCATAGAAAACACAATCTTCAATCCCACAAACAAGAGAAGTACTGGCACTGCAAACATTTTTACAAAGAAAAGCGACTCACCTACTCCCACAGGTTTTTTTGGCATGGGACTCTGGCAGAGGTAGACACGCAAATCTACATTCTGTTCAGCTCTCCGTGATTTCATCAGACAAAAAGCAGCCTCAGGTGAAAGCCAGGAGTGAAACGCCTTCCATCTACCCTGCAAGAGGGGCGGTCTGGGCTCTGCTCAGCCGGGAGCCTCATCCCCCGCCCCGCCAAGCGCGGCTGCTTCTTGTTTTTCAGCGCCGGCGACCTCCAACACCGGTTTAGCGTGCAGCCACGCACTGTTAATGGTTTGACGGCACCCGGAACACATCACGTGCCAAGCCAACACCTTAAGGGGGTGGGAAGCTTTGCATCCGGGAAGACTTGCCAAAAATATTTTGCCTAGCCTTGCTCTGTTTTTCACAAAAACAATCCAACAACATAAGGAGACCACATGGACCGATTTTTGACTATTCCAGGCTGGAAATCCTTGGGAACTATGCTGCTGCAGCTCCAGTGGCTGCCCTCCTGTACCTCACCTCTACATTCAGGGCAACCACGTGGCAACGGCTGCTCTCCGCATTTCTGGCGACAGCAGTACCTTGATCCCTCTGTCTCAAGAGTTCCTTTTTTTCCCCCTTTCCCCTCCACTGTATGGCTTATCTTTTATTGACTCGCATGGAGTCTTTACACCCCAGTTCTCCTTAGGTTATGGGCACACACTCCCCAAAGGAATAGCTTGGCTTTAAATGTGTCCTCCCAGCCAAGACTTGGGTTCTTTTGCAGTAGGGAAGAGGTCAGGAGCTATTTCCTAACATTTTAGCCCACCGTATCAGCAGGGACCTCTGTTATTGTCTGGAAACAGGACTTTGGGACTCTGCTGCAGTTTCCTGTGAGCTAACTGCTGGCTCTTTTGTTATCACTTGAACTGAAATACCAAGAACAAACATTACACATTTTGAACACAAAACAGGCTGCTGATTTCTGATGTCCTGTAACCAATGAGCTGCCACAGGATGGGAGTTTAACTCACCCTTTCTGTCCCAGCGACTGAGGCTTTGAACTCTCCTTTCCAGACTTTCTGAATGAGAACAGGGACGCAAAGGACGCTCGGAGGCTCAGCCGAGAAGCAGCAGATGCTCGGTTTTTGGGGTTAGCTTCGTTTTTAGATCTTGATGTTTGTAATTCCGTAGGATCTAAAAATAGAGTAAAGATTTTGCCTCGGTGAATCCTTCCCAGGTTTGAGGATGGCGGCACTGTGGCACAGCAAGTTAAACCCCCTGCAGAGCCAGCATTCCACAATAAGCTCCCGGTCCAGTCTTAGCTGTTCCTCTTCTGATCTGTGCTCTGCTAATGTGCCTGGGAAAGCAGCTCAGGATGGCCCAAGTGCATGGACCCCTGCCACTCAGCTGACCTGGAAAAGGCCTTTGGCTCCTGGCTGTGGACTGATCCAACCTTGCTAGTGCGGGCAACCATTTGGGGAATTACCCAGATGATGTGAGAGTCTCTTTCTCAATTCTTTTCTCTCTTAATAACCCCAGCTTTCAAATAAATAATGAAATCTTTATATTCCTAGGTAAATCTTCAAAAGATCTTCAAAAAGTTAATAGAAACACATATTTATAGAAAAAAAAAGGATACAAGCATGGATTTCAATTTCTTGCGCCCAAATCAACTTTTATTTTATAATTTTTATTCATTTAAAAGGCAGAGAGAGAGAGAGACAGGGAGCCTCTATTTGCTGGTTCACTCCCCAAAAAGCCACAAGGGCTGAAGCTGGGTGAGGCTGAAGCTGGGAGCAGGCAATCAATCCAAGCCTACAAGTCTGGCTGGCAGAGACCCAGTTACCTGAACCTGAGTCTTCTGTCTCCCATAGAGTGTATGTTAGTAGGAAGCTGGAATCAAGAGTTAGGACAAGAGACAAGCCACTCCAGTATGGGATGTAGGCATCCCAAGAAAGTGGCGTCATTGCTTCGCCAAATGCCTGCCCCAAACTTATCTTCTACTTCTCTTCCACAAAAATTTTGAAGTATTCTCATACCATAATACTTTTGGACATAGTGACTATAAATATTAGAGGAATTCAAAAATCAGAGTCAAGTCACTAATGGTATGGATGGCATTAACGTGAAACTCTAAGTGTGAGTCTGTTCAGATTTACTCACTGTGGGAGTTGCAACATATTGCCAAATGTAAATTTAGAAATATCATTACATGTTTCATGATGTTACCCGTGTTAGTAACATGTGCAAAAAGCAGTGCAAAAGATACTTAGCTCCATTTTTCCATTTTGTAATTTCTAATGCACTGTTATTGCCATAACAGACCTCTGGAAGTGGGTTTAAC